GCAGCAAAGACCACTGCAGTCTAATAGCATCCCAATCCTCTCAGCACGTAAACAGGCCTGCGTGTTTTCTTTGGTCGCACTTGACTTGGGAGCCGCCAGGGTAAGGAGGCCTGGTGGCACAGTTAAGCGCTGGGCCACTAACTATAAAGCTGGCAGTTCAAACCCATCAGCTGGGGGCAAACAACGAGGAGGCTGTCTGCCGCTGTACAGATGGGAACCCCAGAGCAGTTCTACTCTGTCCTACAGGGCGGCTCGGAGTCAGAATCAACTTGATGTCAGTGGGTTTGGCTTGGGTTGTAGCCACTAGCTGGACGGGGTGTGGGCACTAAGGCTGGTGAGCTCAGCCTCTCTGCTGCTGGCACAGCCCACTCGGAGGCACCGGGGAAGGGAGACCAGGTGGTCTTTGTCCTAACCTACACAACCTTGGAAACGCCCCCAGGGGTAGTTCTGCTGAGAGAGGTTGCCTCCAGTCAGAAGTGACCAGACAGCAACTCCCAATGACACACTCAGGGGAAAAGAGGAGGCAGTGGGTCCGTGGCAGAATTCCCACCTCCCAGGCGGCAGGTCCCGCTTGGTTTCAAGCCACTGCACCTCAGGTGCACCCACCACCTGGGCAGTAGAGGCTTGCCTGTTGCTTTGTTACTAAACAGACTTCATAGGTGCTTCTAGGCTGAGCGAGTCTAGGAAGAAAGGCCTGAAGATGGACTTCCAAAATCTAACCACCAAAGCCCTATGGACCAAAGTGGTACGAGCCACAACTGGTCCTGGGGAGGACACAGAACAGGGCAGGTAACAGAGCTGCCTGCAGCCGGACCCCCAAACCTGGCAGCTGTGACCACGGAGCCTCCTGATTCTCTTCCCTCTGTCTCTTTTCTCATTCCACAGTGGGGTGTTTTTTAAAATGCTCAAAGTTGCAAGGAGAATGATGTGCATGAAAATGCTTAGGATTATCTTTTAACAACTCTAGCCAGCTCCCGGGATTTTACCATCTTATTTTTATAAGAAGGCAGGAAACAGCAAGCTGGCTGTTGCCAAAACGAAATCATCTGATTTATAAAGATATTCAAAAACGGAGGCCATCATTACAGGGGAGTCGGCGCTTCCAGAGAATTCAATAATTGAGTATTACCGCGGGAGACCGCATATCCAGCTTACTGCCATCCAAATCTCCGCTTTATCCCGACCTTGATTTGGCTGGAAACTGAGCAGGCGCTGGGGATGGAGCAAATGTGAGGAAGTGAGGTCAGATAAACCCGCAGGTTTAGATAAGAAACTTCTCTACAAGACCCAAATCTGCGGAGCCATTCTGCCAGCATCCTTCTAAGGAACTCAGTTGCTGATCAGAATGCCAGAGCCCTTCAGCTCATTGGGGCTCCGGGGGCAGGGAGGGCTTTGCACTGGGCCACCCTCAGAAGGTGATCTGACCCGGGCACAAAGGAAAGGGAATGAGGAGGGAGGCAGGCAGGCAGGCAAAAGCAAAATATTCCATGGCCTCTAAGGGTCCCAGGGTGGCACAAACTTCAGGTGAAAGGCTCAGCTACCAACCAAAGGTGGGGCAGTTTGAGTCCACCATCATTGCCGCAAAGGAAGAGAGGCCGCTCTTTGATCTCCAAAGGAGCAGACCATTGCTCCGCTCAGCCTTGCTCAGGCACCAAGCATCTACATGCACTGATCAGCAAGTGGCTGGCTGGCTGGCTAGTAAGGGATTTACTGTCAAGAAGAGCCACCAGCTCTACCTAAGCCCCTGTGGTTTGATCTACAGAGGGCTAGGCATGCCTGCGGGAAGGCTGATGGCGATCTCCCCAGGGGCTGGAAGAGAAGCTGTGAACTGTTTTTATTTTCCTCCAGGTGGGGTCACCTCTGCCTAACTGACCTTTAAAGCTCAGGGTTAGGTTTGAAAAACAAAACGAAAGCATCTCTCCTATGGATCAACACTACTTACTCACCATAGGCAGTCCCTAAGCTTGCCTTGAAGTGGTTATCGCGTTCGCCTAACATGCTCAAGGTTCTGGCTCAAAACCAGGCAGAAAGTTCCTAGGTATTTGGAACCCCGGTGAAAAATGGGTTAGGTATTGAGCAGCTAACTGCAAGGCTGGCAGTTCGAAACCACCAGCTGCTCCTCAGGAAAAAGACGAGGCTTTCTACCCCTATAAAGACTTACCAAGGGGGCCCCAGGAGGGAAAGGACTTGCCCAAGGTGCCATGTGGCGGGGCAGTGACCAACCAAGACCTGATGGGGGCTCCTGGGCAGCCACACCGCAGACACAGAGAAACCCCAGCCCCAGTTTCGCTTCTCACCTTCTGGCCTTCCCCCCACACACGGCAGTGAATGGTACCTCAGGAGGACTCGCTGCTCCAAGGCCAAGGCCTCAGGCTATCCATATGTGACAGACAGACAAGCAGGCCCCTGTGCGCAGAAACGATACAGCACAGGTGCCCCAAATGGCTTATTTTAATATTGCTTGAGCGAAATCCCATGACCTTCAGCCATGCAAGCCAAGCCAACTTGGTGACAAAGGAAACCAACCCCCGGGCTAAGGGGCTGGGCCAGCCAGGCGGGCAGTGTTTGGCATCTGAGCACATTGATCCAGCTGATCATCACACCCAGCGCTGAGCCAGCAAGTCCCGAGACGAATGGCAGGGGTCCTGAACAGCAGAGGTTGCCTCCCGGAGCCCAGGGCCCACGAGCGGTATTCCGAGTTCCCCCAGGGACCTGGGTCACTAGGGCTAAGGTGGCTCATGGTGTGACAGTATCGGTCATTCTCAAAGAAGGGAATGGAAACCTTGAGTTTGGGGCGGAGTTATGGGGTGAAGCACATCCTCCTAGTGACACAGCCCCTGGTGACTCTGTGGGGTAAGCTTGGGACTATTAACCACTACGTTCAAACCCGTTAGCCACCCCGTGGAAGAAAGAGGATCCCGTCTGCTGCCGGAAACACTACTGACTGGTTCTCTTATGTCCCATGTGCACTGTGAGTCAGAACCAAGACCAACACTAATGAATGGACTTTGGGGCTCTAGATATACGGCAGGGCACGCTCACAGTAGGATATGCCCCTGGGGCTTTCGTGGGTTGGTTTACGGGAAGTAGACTGTATCAGGCATTCTTCTGAGGCACTTTTGGGTGGGTTCAAACATCTTTCTAAAAGAAGCCAGACACAATAAAGGAATCCAGGGGAATGGGAAGACAGCCCAAGGCTACCCAGAAATGCCCGGGGCCACGAGACCCCAAAGGAGCCTAGGAAGGGTCTTCCCCTTGAGATGACATGGTGCGGCCACTGCCCTGAACTGGACTTCCAGCCCCTGAGCTGTGAGGGAAACAAAGACAGCTGGCTTTAAAAGTCAGTCGTCTTTGGAGTTTCAGAGCCTCCCTTAGCATGCTGTATT